TGTACTAGGGCGTGACATATTGAGGTAGTCTGTGGATGGTTGTGGATCAGGATTCGTCGATGTGTTTGGTTCTGGTGCCATTGGACGTGATCCTTCCATTGCTTGAGGTGTGTTCACATAAACGTGCTCTTCCGGAGACGTGAGAGCTCCGTAGTCTGGCGAGCCAAGCATGGCAAGATAATCGCACTCTCCCCCCACACCTCCTTTTTGTTGTTCGTATGCGATGAGACGTTCAAAGCGCTACAAAACATATAACTTGTTACTGTATATAATGATGGTAATAATAATAATAATAATAATAATAATAATAATAATAAAGAAAAAGCAACAAACAATAATTAATTAATTACATTTTCTATGCAAATATATTTTACAAAGGATGAAATTATCACCTGTAAATTTTAAAATTATTATCTGCAAATTTGAAAACTGAAAATCAGCAATTATTAGAATTGTTTCAATCAATAGTGTGATCTCTGCCGGAAGAATTCAATTAAAAAGCAATTGAATTTGAAAAAAAATAAATATTCCCTTTATATGCTTGAGTAACACGCCAAGGAATGTAGAATTTTGTATGAATTGTGTTTACAACAAATCATCATCATCACAAAGCCCTGAGTGTGTGCTTCTACTGGAAATGAAATTACCCCCTAGTTGAACATCAAACAGATTTAAAACAGGTTGAAAGCAAAAAAAATTAAAGTTCACTGCTTATAATTTAAGGTCTAAGTTATACATTATGTGAAAATGATTAAAATATAGTGGTCTAAAATTTGTCAAAATATGAACTGAACAGCATAGACGAATAAATCCTGCTACAATAGTACAATAGCTTCTATTAGCTACTCTCTGTTAATTTTTATTAGATTTTTTGTTTTGTTTTTGTTTAGCTTGCAAATACACCGACTTGGACCACGCGTGTATGCACTCTGCATTTACCGGAGCTCAGTAACATTATCTCGGTGGCAGGTGCATGCTTCTTTATTTGGGGGGATCAGCATTTAGCTGGATCCGAAGATTGTTAGCATTAGGGGTATGGAAAATGAAATGATTATGAGGGGTGAAATGAGACATACAAATACACCCATGGCCTATGCCGGACTTGAATCCGCGATCCTTCCTTCCGTGATCGCCACGTCACTACTGTCTTAGGGATCTCGGCATCTTAATATATGAATAAAATAAAACTGCATACCTCGCGTGTACTGTTGTCAAGCAGTTCACCAATTTCTGAGGCAAGCGTCTCAAATGTTGGACGGCGGCGGGGATCCGTTTCCCAACAGGCAGACATCAAATCATAACTATCAATGAATACAATTAATTAACTTTATGAATGGAAAAATTACTCAATTAATACTCTTAGATTATTTTTATCGATTAAGTAAACATAACCTGGTGGGTTCAAGTTAACTTATCTGGTATTGATGGCACTCCAACATTTTCTTGGGTTCAATATAAATTTGAATTGTTGACAGTTTACAACTTAAACTTAGATTAGGTCTAACTTATCTAGAGTTCAGACAGAATTTGTCAAGAAATAACTTCAATTTAGGTCTATAAATAAATAACTACTCAATAAAAAGTCAATTAGGGACACTTCAGAATTTTTAAATATAATATTAATGTTAATCACTTTATTATTCGATAAAACTTAGTATCTAACAAATAGTTTCTTGGTCCTGTAACATTACATTCTTTAAATACAAAAGTAAATAAATACCCGAAAAACATTTAGACGTACACAATATAACGAATGTCACTAGCTTCAATTCGTTCGTAATTTCTAATTTAATCGTAATCAAAATCATTTCAATCTAAATCATCATCTCAAAATATTTTGTTCTGACACAACGGAAAAACGAGTTTTCAAGTACAGAACAGAGATGCCATATTAAGCAAAATTACTACAAGTGGGCCGAAGTGTGGTGAACAAGGAATCCAAATATATGTTTTCAAGGGACGTGTTGGATTTAAACTATCCAATGATTGTCTCCAATTAAACGATACGACAAATAAATAACTAAGTAGACAATAAATAAACATTAATAAGTGATATAATAGTCCATTTTTATTTTGCATATAATAACAATAAAATACACGTTTTTTTTTTTTGTTTTTTTTTTTGCAATTTTCGAAAATATCTAGCAATACCCGAAAATGAGACCAGCGCCATATTTCTTACCGTTCCTTATTTAATATGTGGGGAAAATTTAATGTAAAAATCTGGAGCGGAGTTTGAGACTTTTTTGTGAATTTCAATCCCAAAATACACAAAAACTACTCAATTTATCAAAAACTTGTACCTGTGTTTTTAAAAGAGAATTTACAAGACTTTGTCTAAGACAAAAATCTCTATCCCCGATTTTTAAGTTTTAACAAGTTTTTCCCCCAAATTTTCAAAAAATCGGGGATATCAACAAAAATGAGACATGCACCATTCTCTTAAACGTCTTTTGCACCATTCAATAACATTTAATCAAAATAAATCGAGGCATTTTTTTTTAATTAGAAAAGGTCCCAGGTGCTTCATGTAACGTACCCCAAAAATTAAAATTTCGGTTTCAAATGCCACGGTCCGCGTCATCAACTAGAACGATTGGGAATATTAATTTTATAAAATATCGGCAGTTTATGCGCTAGTTGTGCACAGACGAACAGACGGACGTTTCGCCGTCAATCGATTTTTTGGTATTACAGACCCCCAAAATATGGTTTCTGACTACACTACGTATTAGAAGTTCTATTTTTATATATATATACATATATATATATACATATATACATATATACATATATATATATATATATAGCAACGTCATAAAGTGAATAATTCCACTTGCTA